GGGAAACGTCCACTGATTTGAGATACCCACCCTGCTAGGAGAGATGCCAGTGAATGATTTCATATAAATCTGGTTAACTCCCCTAAGTAAAATCTAGCACTATTATTTTGATTTACTATGCAGGATAGTGTTTTTATGAACATAGATCCAAGATTAAATGTTGTAATTCTAGTCCTGCTGCTTGTTAACAATGCGACCTTGAACAAACTAGTTAACCCAAGTTCTGTCATGTGGAATATAGAGGCAAAAGCAGTTAACAACCTCAGAATGCTATGAGATTGTATTAAAATTGTAACTTAGAAAAAGTAATGGACTGCTAAACCACGAAGCAGTCAGTTCAATTTCTCAAGTCCCTGGAAGATGCGCAGTTTTCAGCTCTCAAGAAAAAGTTGTTGTTGTGAAGTTCCGTAGAGTTGGTTCTGACCCATAGAGACCCTGTACAGGGTTTCCGAGGAGTAGCTGGTGAGCTTGAACTGCCAACCTTGCAGTTCAAATGGTTTTGCAGCCTGACGCATTAACCCACAGCACCACACCAGGACTCCTCAGAAATCCTATACAGGGTAGCTTGAGTCACAATTGATAGAATGGCAGTGACAGGGAGGCTGCTTTCTTCAGTTTAACCCACAGTGGATGGGCAAAAAAAAACAAAAGCTAATATATTAAACAAAATGCTTCATTTAAAAATCACCTAGTATTCCTTTTGCTGAAACTTGTATACTTTCTAGAAATTACAGTATGGCATTAAGAATAAGGATTAATTACTTACTTACAGCTCTCTTCTAGAATTTCCTAAACTGAGATTCAGCAATTATTCAGTCATTTTAAAATTCACAGCAAACTCATGGATTTAAGTGTTGAGGATGAAAAACATTAAAAATATAATGCATTAAAAAGCCAAGTTTTGGGATTGTAATCATTGCAATGTGTGGTGTACCCTTTGGTTATCTGATGTTTTGAGGGGATTGTTAATCATTGCAATGAATCAAAATACAATAGGATGAGTGTGAAGCTGATGTTCTCCCACGTAAACCTCACAATAAAAACTTTAAAAAAAAAAAAAAAAAGCCAAGTTTTTTTTATTTTCTGTATAAACCTTTACTTGGCTTTTCAAAATAGTAGTTTCTTACAATATTGTCATGATTGACATATTTCATTCAGTATAAATTCTCCAGGCTCACCCACAGAAACATTTTTTGATGGCTTCCAGGGAAAAGGGAAAATCACTAAGTACAAAGTTGTTAATGTTGTTGAGTCTGTTATGACTCTCAACATCCCTGTATAGCATTTCCAAGGAATAGCTTGGTGGTTATGAACTGCGGACCTTTTGGTTAGCAGGCCAGTGCTTATCTACAGTGCTATACCAGACTAAAAAGTAGTGGTGGTGGTAGTGTGCCGTGGAGTCAGTTCTGACTCATAACGACCCTGTATTGGGTTTCTGAGGCTGTAAATCTTTATGGAAGCAGAAAGCCTCATCTTTCTCCCATAGAACAAGCTGGTAGTTCCAAACTGCTGACCTTGATGTTAGCAGCCCAACTGGTAACCACTACACTACCAGAGAAGGGAATGGCAATATACAATTAAGGTGGGGGTCAAAAAAAACCCTAAATTTGTTTCGTTTTTTCCCCCACAAATAAATTAGTGGGGAAAAATGTGAAGAATCTATAGACAGATTTAAAAAACATCACCCAATTGCAACATATAAACCTTACTTGAATCTTGACTCCAAAAAATACACTTACAGTACAAAATATGTGTTTATGTACATATATATCAACATACACAATGATTTTTGAATAGTGACTGAAATTACAGAATGAAAATTATGATTTTAGGTATAAGCATGTTTTAAAATATTTGAGAAAAAAACTGATCTACATATTGCCAAAATGATATGATACGGGATTTGCATAAAAATAACAAAAGGTGGGATGAGGGGTAAAGATGAAACAAGACTGACCATTAGCTGTTAATTGGTGGTTAGGTGATAGCTAATAGCTACATGACTTAATCATACAAAGGCTTTTCAAAAAGGGAATGGAAAGATAATGCATTTTTTCCATAAACTTTTGAAGCCCCCCCATCTCATATTTAACTGTTTTTGTATAATTGGTATCTTCCATAATAAAGTTTTGTTTTAATAAAGAAATTCAAAAGAAAGTTGGAAACAGTCACTCATTAATAATAGGGAAATTAAGTCGTTTCATTTTAAAAAGATTGAAAATAAGGAAGGAAAAATGTATAAAAACGGAAAGACTGTAATAATTGATGCATCTTGATATGTAAGAGGTTCAAAGAGTTTAAATACTGCAAAATTTACTTTCTTTCAAGCTATTTTTTATGCTTCTTGAACTTTTTCAATTCCAAACTCTTATTCTTAAGGTTCACTGTTAAAATATTACAGCTGTGTTTTCTGTACTTGTACATTTTCTTCACTTCTTCCCTTCCATTCTCTTCTTCTCTCCCAACACCTATGTTCCTTACATTTTCAACCACAAATTTCTGACTAGACTAATAAAGTTGAAGCAATGAAAGAGTAAATAAGGGTTAGAAACTTGAGGAATATTGGCTTTAATCACAGCCATATTACTTTCAGTTTGGAGGATCTGTAAACCACCACACATTTCAACATTGATTAGCTGTTTCTTTGCAAAACAGCCCAAACTATGTACTTCTACTAGAAACAGTGTTTAAGTAATGTATTTTAACATACATAACACACAAACCAACTACCTCCTAGGGCCTTAGTTTCCTAAGAGCGTTACGCATGTTATATGTGACCTTGTATAGGGTTTCCAAAGACCAGCTGGTGAGCTTGAACCACCAACCTTGCAGTTTAAACAACTTTGCGTTAACCCACAGCATCGAAACAGGACTCGTGTGGGATATATATATTTATTTTTTCAAACCTTGACCATTCAAACCTATGATCATTAAGGCAGAGTGGTAAGAGAACTATTTAAAATTCAAGGGTCTATGTTCTTGCCCAGGCTCTGGCAACTTATGAGCTGAGTTCATTCACATCTGATCACCTAATATATACCAGGCACTGGGGAAGATACAAAGATAAATATAACAATTATATTAAGTAAATAATTACAATACATTTTTTTTATTTTTTTACAATATATTTTTTAAAGTGCTATAAGAAGCATGTATAAAATTTATATAGAAAACGTATGAAAGCTGTATTAGATTATGCTTCAGTTTCAGAATTCTATTTAGTCTACATTTCTTTGAATCTCTTTTAAATTAAGATTTCACTAATTTACAGTGGTACTTTTTATCAAAAAATGGTAATTACTGTAAAATTTCTATTAAAAGCAGCTAATAGAGAACCTACTACATGTGTGTGGCAAGAACCTAGGGGCTCTCCATACACTGTGCCTCACTTAAGTCTCACAATCCAAATCCAGAAGAAAATTATCACTACATTACAAGTAAAAAAACAGAAGTTCAAAAGGCTAGAATAACTTACCCCAAGTCACACACAGAATAAGAGGTATACAGGGATTAGAATCCAGATCTTCTGATTTCAAAGCCTATCCTTCTTTGCACTACACTATTTGTCTCTCATTTTCTTTCTCTACATAAAAACAAAATTTCCAGAGATCACCTTTTTAAGAGTACCCAAAAACAAACGAAAAACTCTGACATCCATTAAGTATAAAGTGAGGACTGACTGCAAGAAAGCTGCCCAAGCATATGTAGCACATTGTACACCACATATTTAAAAACATATATAGTAGAGTAAGGAAAAACAAAATGCATATAAAACGCTATTAATTTTTTTTAAGTACAATGCAACATGGGCCCACGAAGTCTAGCATGTCTAATTATTAACAAAAACTTGATGTGAATGTAAATCATGTGTTTATTTTTCCGTGTAGACTTCCTTAAATTCATCTTTGTTTTGGTAAACTTTTTTCCCAAGGTTATCAATTTTCATCACAATCTATTTGAAACAGCAAATAGAACATTTCTGTAAAATAAGTGAACCCTTTACAAAAGGGTTTAAAAAAAATTTTTTTTTCGCCTCGGGCAAATTTTAAGATTAAGAGAAATTCTCTAGAGACAGTCTTCATTGTCTAGTTCAATTACAGATTTTGTAATAACAAGAGTCACCCTCGTTCGCAATGATCTCCAACAACAAAAAAGCTAACAGTCCCAAACGTCCTCAAGGGTCCCAGTGTGGGGTACACAGGTTCCGTCCCCCACTCCCCGCCCCCGATTACAGAATGGGGCCCAAGCTAGGAATCAACACCAAATCGACACCATCCCCGGATTCACGATTCCTGAGCCGTTTAGAACGAAGTCTCTCAGCCATTTATGCCCTCTGTGTCGCATCCCACTCGGAGGTGACATTTTCTTTGCTTTCACACCGCACACGCAAGCACTGAAAGCCACGAATCTGCAGAAGCCCCCCACCCCCACCCCTCGCGCGAGAATCCCAACCCCCCTTTCCTCAGCCCCAAATACAAACATGCTCTCCTGTCCATGCTCCTTGCACAATAACGTTCAGAGAAAACTTCACGGAGAAGGTCTCTTCCAGCTGCGATGGGAAGGGTCAGCCCCTCCTCGATGCTCCCTCACCACCGCTTCCTCCGGCTGTCAGGCCTAGCGTGGCCTCGGCGGCGCGGCGAAATAAGGGGCCGCCATGGCCTAAGAAAACGCGCTCTTCTGGTCCCGCGGCCCGTGCAACGGCGTCAGGTGGCTCTTCCCGAGGCAGGTTCCCAGCAACGATGCCCAACCGGGCCCTCCCGGGCAGCGTGGGGATTAAGGCAGCGCAACTGCGGGGCAGAAGAGCTCTCCTCCCCATCCCCGGGGCCCCCCAACCTCCTCCCACCCCCGCCGTCTGCCCGCCGCCATTTTGTGAGCAGCCGCTGCGACACAGATACAATAGTCGGCCTGGATCTCACGGGAAAAGCTCAGGAACCCCACGCTATGGGTTCCCGCCTTATAGCCCCTGCTCCCCACAAAACAGAACCCCTACCTAGGGTTACCCGACTAGCAGCCGAATCCCATATGCGCCTCGCAAAGTTCAGCGTTCAGCTTTCAGTCTCGACGCCAAAGAAGCTACCGCCTCCCGTCAGCTTCACGCATGCGCTCCGCTCTAGTCTATACAAGCCGTCTTCTATTCTCCGCGCCTGCGTGCCACCCGCACCGCGCGCTCTCGGAAGCACTGGGAGCTAAGGAGCTTAGGTCCGGAAGGGGGCGCTCCTGCTTGCAGGACGTTCCCAGGCGCCGACTGTAAAACTCCAGCACCAAAAGCAATGCAGTGTCTCTTTTGAGATCTGCGTTGTCACCTCCTCCGTGAAGTCTTCTCTGATCATTATTGCCTTCAATAACCAAAACTAAGCTCGTTGTCTTTCAGACTCATGGTGACTGTATGTGTTACAGTGGAGCTGCTCCGTAGGGTTTCTTTGGCTATAATCTTTACAGAGCAGGTAACAAGGCCTTTCTTCAGTGGTGTCCCTAGATGGGTTTGAACCACCAACCTTTAGGATACTTTGTTGTTATTAAGTGCTGTTTAGTCGGTTTCTTCCGTCGAATGGCTGGAACCGACTCCACGGTACTTAACAACAACAATAGTCGGTTTCTGGTGTAGTGCTGTGGGTTAATGCGCTGGACTGCAAATCTTCCTGGGCACAGAAAGCCTCATCTTTCTACCCTGGAGCAGCTGGCGGCCTTAAACCACGGACCTTGTGTTTCACAGTCCAGAGCTTATGCTAGAGTGGTGTTATTCCGTGTCATCGAGTGGGTTCCCACCCATAGCAACCCTGCACAGGGTTTCCAAGGAGCGGATGGTGGATTTGAACACAATTATTAATTGCCAGGTGAGTATTAAAATAGGTAATACTCACCTGTCACTTAATAATTAGATTTTGTATAGTAAATACGATTTTGTTTCCTTTATCCTTTCACCTTGTACTTTTTCCCTCCTTTTTGGCATTCTTCTAGGGAGTCCTAAGGAGCTGTGGTAGCATAGTGGCTATGAGTCAGACTGCTAACCACAAGGTTAGCAGTTTGAAACTTCCAGTCTCTCCCCGAGGAGAAAGATGAGGTTTTCTGCTTCTATAAAGATTTATAGCCTCAGAAATCCTATGCAGGGTCACTACGGGTTGGAACCGACTCCACAGCACACCACCACCACCATCACCATAGGGAGTCCTGGAGTCCTGTTGTGGCGCTGTGGGAAAAGCACTGGACTACTAACCATAAGGTCAGTTGTTCAAACCCACCAGCGACTCCTCGGAAACCCTATACAGAGTCGTTAAGAACCGGCTTGATGGCACTTAAAAACAACAACATACGGAGTTCTGGTGTGGAGCAATAGGATAAGCACTGGTTAGCAGTTCAAACCCACCAGTCGCTACTTGTAAACCTTACACAGGGTAATTATGAGTCAGAACTGACTTGATGGCATTTAACAACAACAACATAGTTATGATTTGATGTATATCATAGCCATTCAAAACATCTGGAAATTAGAATTCAATTAAAGCTTACTGAGTCAAAAACTGAACACTCCAAAAATCCTTTTATATGTCATTTCACAGAGTTGGCACTGGCCTGTGGAAGACAGAAGAGGCAGTCAACGTCTAAAGATTGTAGTTGTGTGAAATTTACAAGGCAGTTCTACTTTATCCTATAGAGTCTCTAGGAGTCAGAATGGACTTGATCACAATGGGCTTGGATTTTTTGGGGTGCTGAACTAACCTAATGTTGGTGGTTAGAATCCACTCAGCAGTGTCACACAAAACACCTTGAGATCCAGAAACATTAGTCAAGTCCCCATGAAGCAGTTCTACTCTGTGTAACACAGGGAGTCGCCATGAGTAAGAAGCAACTAGATGGAAACAAGTTCACCTGTATGGTATATATTTTAAGTCCTTGTTTTATTGATGAAAGCCTCTGCATTGAGGGACTAACTTAAGGTTACCCTATTAGACCAACATAAAAGCTCAATTACTATATAAAATCTGGTAAAATTCCCACAAATTACATTATCCACCCTGAGTCTCACACATCAGTTTTGCCTACCACACAAGCAGATGTTTCTTTTATTCACACTATATTAAGCAGAGGAAAGAATGAAAACAAAACAGTTATTTTATAAACATACCTTATTAATAAAATTGAGAAATCATAGGCAAATTAACAAAAGAAAGGAAGGAGATGATGCAAATAACACATATTAGAAATTATATGGGTGACATTACAACAGAACCAACAGAAATAAAGATAATACAAGAATACTATGAATAATAGGAGAGTCCTGGTGTGGCATCATAGGATAAGCTCTTGAACTCAAGGTCACTTTGAAACACAAAGGTTGGTGGTTCAAACTCACCAGCCACTCCTAGGAAATCTTATACAGGGTCGCTATGAGTTATAGCCTACCCTATCATTAACAAGAGCACTTAACAACAACAATGAATAATTGTACGTCACTAAATTTGAAAATCTAGAAGAAATTAATAAACTTTTAGAAAAACACGACAAACGAAACTAACAAGACAAGAGAGTGATGTAGAAAGCGAACAGACTTTTAACAAAACAAGAAATTGATCTGGTAATCTTAAAACTCCCAATAAAAAAGTCTAGGGCCAGATTACTTTACTGGTGAATTCCACCAAACATTCAGATTGGAACTGACATCAATTTTAATCAAACTATTCCAGAACATTAGGAAAGGATGGAAAACTCCCAAATACATTTAATGATGCAAACATGACCCTCATACCAAAACCAGGCAAAGACATCACTCAATAAGAAAATTATAGACCAATATCCTTCATGAACATTGGTGAAGTATTGATGCCTTTGAGTTGTGGTGTTGGAGGAGAATACTGAGGGTGCCATGGACTGCCAAAAGAACCAATAGATCTGTTTTGGAAGAAGTGCAGCCAGAGTGCTCCTTGGAGGCCAGGATGGCTAAGCTTCGTCTCTCCTACTTTGGACATGTAGTCCGGAGGAAACAATCGTTGGAGAAGGATGTCATGCTGGGTAGGGTGGAGGGTCAGAGAAAAAGAGGAAGACCTCCAACAAGATGGATCAGCCAGGTGGCATCATTGATGGACTCGGGGGTGGCAGCGGTGGTGAGGTTGGCCCAGGATCGAACATTGTTTCGTTCTGCTGTGCATGGAGTCGCTATGAGTCGGTTCCGACTCGATGGCACCTGACAACAACAACATCCTTCATGAACATAGGACTCCTGGTGTGGTGCTGTGGGTTAACGTGCCAAACTGCAAAGCCATTTGAACTACAAGGTCGGCAGTTCGAGCTCACCAGCTGCTTCTTGGAAACTCTATACAAGGTTGCTATGGGTTGGAATTGACTTGACAGCACTTAACAATAATCCTTCATGAACATAGATGGAAAAACCCTCAACAAAATCCTAGTTAGCAGAATTCAACAGTGTACCAAAAAATAATACATCATGACCAAGTGGGTTTCATAGGAATGCAAGGAGGTTCAATATTAGAAAAATAATCAATATAATTCAGAATACAAAAAAAGAACAACAAAAACAAAGCAAAAGAACCACATGACCATATTGATTGATTTTGAAAAACCATTTAACAAAATCCAACATCCTGATAAGAACACTCAACAAAGCAGGAAATGAAGGGAAATTCCTCATCATAATTAAGAGTATATACACAAATCTAAAAGTCAACATTACTCTTAATGTTGAGAAACTGAAAGGATTTCCTTTGTGAACAAGAGTCAGACAAGAATGTCCTTCATCACTATTCCTATTCAATATTGTTTTGGAATACTTAGCCAGAGCTATAAGGCAAGAAAGCGAAATTATTTTAAAGGCATCCAAATTAGCAAAGAAAAAGTAAAACTCTCTCTATTTGTAGATGATATGATCTTATATCCAATGACTCCACAAGAAAATTACCAGAACTCATTGAAAGATTCAGCAAAGTAGCAGGGTACACGATCAATATACAAAAGTCAGTTGAGTTCCTCTATACTATTAGTGAGGTTGGCCCAGGATCGAACATTGTTTCGTTCTGCTGTGCATGGGGTCACTATGAGTCGGTTCCGACTCGATGGCACCTGACAACAACAACAACATACTATTAAAGACAGCTCTGAAAAATAAATTGAGAAAACCATTTACAATAGTCAGCCAAAAGATGAACTCTGACCAGAGAAACTAAAGACTTATACAAAGAAAACTATCAAAAAAAAAAAAAAGACACATAAAAATGGAAGAATATACTATGTTCATGGAAAGGGAGACTTAACATTGTGAACATGTCAACACTATCTAAAGCAATCTGTAGATAAAATACAATCTCAATCCAGATTCCAACATCATTCTTTAAAGAGATGGGAAAATTTATCACTCCCTTTATATGGAAGGGAACGAGATATCGGAGAAGTAAAGCATTGCTTAACAAAAAGAAAAAAGTTGGAGACTTCTCATTCCCTGATCTCAAGATTTGCTACGCAGCCACAGAGGTCAAAATACCCTGGTACTGACACAATGAAAGATATACATAGATCAATGGAACAGAATTGAGGAGCCAGAAGTAAATCCATTTTTGACAAAGGGCCAAAACTTATTAAATAGGGAAAAGACAGTAGCTTCAACAAATGACCTAAATTGACCAGATAATGATAAAGATACTTGATACTGCAAGCAAATAAAAATTGCTACAATTTGATGAACTGGACGTTTGTTTATGGATACAATTAATCAAAATTCCAACTAAAATGGAAAGATTCTTCATATCAGGGATCAAGATTATTTTCTCAATGCAATGGGTTGATTGTTGTTGTTAGGTACTATTGAGTTGGTACCAACTCATAGCAACCCTATGCACAACAGAATGAAACACTGCCTGGTCCTGCGCCAACTTCACATTCCTTGCTACGTTTGAGCCCATTGCTGCTGCCTCTGTACCAATCCATCTCGTTGGGGGTCATCCTCTTTTTCTCCGACCCTTCACTTTACCAAACATGATATCTTTCTCCAGGGACTGATGACAATATGTCTGAAGTATGTGAGACATGAAGTCTAGCCATCCTGGCTTCCAAGAAACATTCTGGCTGTACTTC